GTGGTGCAAGGTCCTGTCCTGCAATCCAGGCAACAGCAGCAGAGTTGTTGACTGCCTTTCAGCCACCAATTTCTGTAAAATAATTTCAAGAATAAGTAGAAGTGAAGGCTGCAGCAACGTGAAAACATTTGCTTCAATTACGTCAGTACCTTTACATGCAGAGTTAAATCAAGCTGTGGTTCTAGCCTCATCCGGCGATTTGACATACTATCCTTGTCCAAGTTTACATGCACTGGACAAAAGTTGAATTCTGTTTTTTTTTTTTTTTTGGTGGGTGAAGTTTTTGTTAAACAACAGCATCATCTTTAAAGCAGTATATGGCATCACATTGTGTGTAGCTGGGTAATAGGCAAAATGACCCTTCAATTTGGGGTCTTAATTACTTTGTCAGGTTTATTTATTATTGACAACTTCTCTTTGTAATCCACAGTGACTCATATCAGTCCCAAAGCCTCTGGTTGGGAGACTGTATCAGCTTTACAGAAAAATAGTAAATCTCTACCATGTGCTTCATTTAAGTATTTCAAGTAGTTAATTTAGTCTTAAATGTTACTTTGGACAACACAAACCCCTGAAGACAGTATTTTTATTCTCAAAGCAGGGAGTTTGATGATGTGTATGACCACACACAAGCTAAAGGTCACTGGTAAAGTTTGTGGAAAAGTTGTGGTGACTAGAAAAATACACATTCATATCATATCATCCAACATCGAGGTGTTCAGCTAAGTAGTACTTTCCTTTCTGCACCCATGTTAATGAGTCCTAATTAAAAGCTGCTAGCATAGCCTGCAGGCTTAAAGTTTTCACTTTTTTAAATGGCACCATCTTCCCCCTTAATTACACTATAAAGTTGTAAGATCAATAAAGCTTAGTGCTAAGCTCCGTTTTATTTTAGGGAGGAAAATGGAGGCAGTGTACTCTGTAAATGTTCTTACTGGCACATGTGAATTTCTTTGCACTCAAATTAAGCAGGATTAAGGAGTGAGCAGAGCGAGGGGGACCGAGAGGGGCAGAGGGGGAGAACTGGCGTCTTCAGACTGCAGCTCATGTGACAATAGGAGAGTGTGGTCAGCCGCACGTCTGTCCGGAGAGCCACAAATGGGAGGTATAAGGTTGAACTCTGTCAGGACACAGGACTGCTTCAGGACAACCACACAAGTAGACAGATGACGGATTACAGAAAAAGATCAGGTAAACTAAAAGTGAGTCCCTGAAACGTTACATCCTAATCTTACCCAAGTTACTGTATGTTCACATGACAGTGAAAGTGAAGCATGCATCTTTTGACATTTAGAAGTAGAAATAGCTGGAACGACAAAATGATAATAATTAAAATACATGTGCAGTGAGTCTTGTCCGCACTTGTTGCTTTTTTCTGTGCCTATTTTTTACTTAAGTATCAGGGTAGCTGGCCAGCTATGTAGGAAAATCAAACCAAAATAAAACTTAGTAGAAGCTGAGTGCTTTATTATTTAACCAAACATGCAATGCAAGCACACGTCATTAGGCATGACAGTTCAGACACTTGACAAAATTAAAGCTCCCATGACAAGTTTCTTTAAGTTTGAAAAATTCAATGAAATTTAGATTGATTCCTTTCCATGAAATCCAAAAGCAAACAAGATCATCAGTGGAAAAATTCATGACTGTTTTATCTTGAATTTTAATGCTTGAAAATGCAGGTGCAGGGGGGTAGGTGTCAGCTGAGACTGCTTTGTCCACAGGGAGCACCAGAACAAATCAAAAATTCTCAAAGGAGCTTTAAAGCTTGAAAAAGACATCATTTTAAGGAGAGTCAAAGCTTCTCCCTGTGTCTTACAGAAAAATGTAGTATAATTGTGGAGGTATTGAGAGAACTGATATGCCATTATAGAGGACCTTTAAGTTATTTCCCCACACTGAGGCAGTATGTGCTCAAAGGAATCTCTTGCAGTTCTGACAGTCACTATTAGCCTGGTACTGAGGCTACACTAATCCTTCAGGTATATTATTAAAAAAGTGGGAGAGTCAGTGTGACAGACGGTGGCACAGTTGCTTGAGGCTAACTACATTTTAGTAAACTTTAAAGATGGTCGGATGATTTTTAGAGTAACACAACAGTGAGCAGGTAAGACTCTCTGCTTCACCTTTTTATTACCTTTCTTCACTCCCTGTTTTTTTTTCTTTTTTCTGCCTGTATACATATATTCATACACACTTACACTCACTTCCCTGTTTCATGTTGACCAAGAGTAAATGAAAGCAGGCAGACCCTGAGAAAGGATGAGACTGGGGCCACAGTGTGAGGAGGGGTGGGGGGGCCCCCAGTGTGCAGAAATGGCTCAGGCTCCAAAAGAAATGAGATCCAGGCACTTATTTGTCAGGGTGTCTGCCTGCTCTTTCCCCGTCTCTGCACTGTGTGAATATGCATGAGGATTTGAGAGGTATAAATAGCGGAGGTGTCCATATTGCCACTGCGTTTTCCATCAGCACAGAGAAAGGCTTTAATGGGCTTATTATGAACCGCATTACATCACCAACGGCAAATTACAAATTCCTGTAGGGAGCAGGAAAGAGAGAGCTTACTGTGGGGCAAAGTTTATGCAGCTGACAAGTCACATGGCCCTGTGTTTTGGTCTGAGTGGAGGTGGTGCTCCTATATGTGCGATGAAATAGCTGTACTGTGACATTTGTAACAATATCTTTGAAAGAGACCAGTTTTACTTTCAATAGTTATTTGTTGCACTTAATACAGCTCAGCCTATAACATCAATCTTTCTAACAGTTTTAACATTGAAATCTCTCTTCATGTCACTCTATAAGCTCTAACCTAACTGTTTACTATTTAAGATGAACTTAAGAAACTTAAGAACTCTCAAGGGTGTGTTTTTGAGTCTGGTTTATCCAGAGTAATTTGAAGCGTTTATTCAGAAAAAGGAAAAATTCAGTCAGTTTCTGTTACATAAGAATAAACAAAAATGGTCAAACGGAAGCCAAAACTTTGTGTCTGAATAGGTACAATTACAGGGGAGTGACAGGAGTCATGTTGAATAATGAACGTACATGAACAATTTTAAAGTCGTTGAATAGACTTGATAGTAGTTGCAACTTAGGCACACTTGCCGACTACTTACTAATGAGGATCACTCACCAACACATTTATAGCTACAAACCATGTTTTTTTTTTAAGTTGGAGCAGCCTTAGCAGAGCTTTGTGAGTCACATAAAGCAACTTTGATAAACTATAGGGCTCTAGTGTTGGAAAGAATAGAGTAATCATGCGGCCAGGAGGGTCTCATTAGATGCTGTGCAGTTGTCATAAGGTATATGTTGCCTATTTACTGGGGATGTGCTTATAAAGTCAACCAAACCATTTGATGTCATCATCTTTGCTAGTTGGCATCAGAACTACAAATTGCTAGAACTAATTGTTAAAATTTAAATGATTGGAGGCCTAGACTCAGCACAGTTTGGCAGTATTTTGATGTCAAAAAGGGGATGAAGTTCTGTACAAGGTATGTTTGGTTGAACTGGTGTATAACCAGCACAAGGGGATGTAAACCTGCAAGGACTATAGACTGGAGGTGCTAGCACTGCTAATCTACAAGCTAACCTGAGAGGGGATGAAAGATTAAAACTCCTCCTGCAGCTGAAAACTTTCTCTATTTACACACTCAAGGCTACATCCTTTCCCTAACCTCAATAAGGAGATAATTTTTTCTCCTTTTATTTGAAATTTTTACCCCTAATGTCCAAGCCATATCAAATTTTCATATATGCTCTGTGACATTCATTTCAAGTGTGATTGTTCGACTCTGCAAACTGATTATGTGTTAAACTGCAGCCACTATGATGATATGTTCAATATATTCAATAGACTGTTTTTCATTTTGATTTTTTTCTGAGTGTTTTCTTACTTTTACTTTATTGACTATCTGCATGGTATCCTGTGTGAAAACAGGCAGAGAATCTAGCAAGACCAGACACTGTCAATATGGCTACCACAGAAATCGCACTGCCAACTCGTGTTATGGCATTTTTTTACAGAGCCAGGTTAACACCCCAACACACAAATATATATTGCAGAAGTATAAACCAGGAGACCGTGGTAGTACAAATTTACTAGTCATGTGGGTTAAAGCTTTGGATCTTCAGAGGAGAACTGATTTGCAGTGAATGGAGGGACCGGTAGCTTAGGTACAGCATATTCAACAAAACCTGAAGCCTCCTTGGAGATAGTTTTGGCGAAATTTACCACATTGGTATATGGAAAACTTGGACTCAAAATCAGCATATTACAGCCTCTACAGCCAGTATTTTTCATTTACAGAAAGTCAATCCTGAATCTCTTCTGTGTTTTTTAACACTCCAATACGATCAGGTGCTTACTTGTGACTATAAGCGCAACTTAAGGGTGGCTGAAGAATAATGAAACTCAACAGCAGTTTTTTTTTTCGTTCTTACCGGTGTTATGACTCAACTTGTTGTTATATCAGACCCCACTATGTGTTTCTAAAAAGAATCTTTGCGTACGGTGTTTAAATTTGTTGAGCAGCGTGCACCCTGGCCCATTTCCACCCATAGTTCCTGATGGGGATTCACTCAGTCAGACCTCTGCTCCACTTTCTCCTCACAGTTCTGTCTTTGACCCACTTTGATTTACTTCAGACTCATTGGAGTCCTCATCCGAATATTTTCACAGTGAATGCAGCAGAAGTGAACTAAATATGAAAAAACATGTAGAAATATTTTATACAACAAACCTTTGGAGGATGGAAAGATGAAGATGAAGTTCTGTCATCAGAGGATGTCAACTTTAGGGTGCATGCTTAAGTTCCCGGTAGGGCCTAAGTGAATGAGATGAACACATGAAACAGAGACAATGAGAGAGGGGGTGAGAGAAAACGAGAGGGAGAAAAGTTTTGGAGGGTGGGTGAGGAGGAGATGAAGCGGTGATCTCATGATAAGCCTGATAGAAAGAGGGCTCAGAGTTCTCCTAGGGAGCAGGTCAAGGGAGGCGAATGGATGCAGCAGACGGCCCATCAGGCACCCCTGCCATCCACGGGACCCCAGTGCCGGCAGAGGGCTGCAGCCGGGTAGGTGCCAGCACAGATGCAGATGAGCGAGTGTCAGCTGAGAAACAATTGGGCAGGGGGCAGCGGGACGGGCATGAGGGGAGGCAGATAGAAGGAAAGAGGGAAGCCGGGGAGAGGGTACCATCCCCGCTGCTCTTTATCGCAGCCATTGATCGTGGCGTGTGTGCATTGATCCAAGTCGACCATCTGCTAGAGTTAGATAAGCGTGCGAGGGCCTGGGCATTGTGCTGTCACTCATGGAGTGTGCAACTAAGAGAGAGAGAGAGAACGAGCGAGATAGAGGGCAAGCGAGATTGAGAGAAAGGGAGTGGTGATGTTGAGGAAGGAGGGGTGCTTTGGCTGCAGGGAATTATGGGGGCAGGATTAGCCTCCTCACTTGCAGGAAACAGAATTTTAAACGGCTGTCTCCTGGCTCCCTCACACAGACACATGCACGCACACGCACACACACACTCACTCACACACACACACAGCCGTGTCTTCTCTCCCTGCCCCCACCCTGACTCCTCTTTTACAGTGAACTTCATCAGAGCTGCTCCAATGTGTGTGTGTGCGCACCAGTGCATGTGTGTGTCTGCCCCTGGAGGACGTACATTGGATCATCTCGATGACTTCGGCGGCCCCTGTCTCTACTTTCAGCTCCTCTCACTTTAGTGACTCCAACCATATCGAGAAAGGGAACTCCACTTCCTCAAGATGTCTTCATTGCATATTCAACTCCCATCATCAGCTTTCAAATCGTCATGGTGACTCTTATCAGATACAATGCAATACATCTTTCAAGTTCCTTTTTTGAGAGATTTTCTGATGCAATTTGGTTTCGAGAGATGGCACGAAAAGACATCCAAATGTGGGAAAAGCTGTAAAACCACAGAAAAAAATTACAGCCTGAATACAGAGGCACGCAACCAGCCAGTCTCATGTGTAAATATCCAAGTAGGTGAGTCCTCTTTCAGGCGCCTGAATGAGATTCATGTTTTCTTGATCATTTCTTAAAAATCACTTTTGATCCACCAGCAAAAAGACTCCTTGGAAGCTTCAATCCCCACTTTTTTTGAGTTGTTCACATTTGGCTGCCTTTTTGTTTTACTGGCTAATCCAGCAGGATTTAGGAAGAAACAATATGGTGTATCACAGTCGGTATTTGTGTACAAACGGTAAGCCCATGTGCATTCGGCTGAGTGGCACCTGTCCCCCCTTCCCCCTGGCATGTAGTCTTTCTAGAAAATGAAAAAAAAAAAAAAAAACATGGGGGATTCTGGAAATTTTGGTTGCCAGGGAGACCCCATAAAAGAGCAACCACAGTAGCAGCATCAGGGCCCGACTTAAGGTGGAGGGGGGGAGTGGCACCAGAGATGGAGCCCAACATGCCTCCCACCCTCACACCCAGAGCCTGCCCCATCTTCTGTGCGACTGTCTTTAAGTCTATTCTGCTCTGTTGTTGCAACTTTTTCTTTGCTCCATTTTCCTCTTTAGAATTTGCACATTGGGGTCCAATGCACAAGGCCGCTGCTTTGTGGGAGGGTGGGGGTGTTTTTGATGTGAAGGCGAAAGTGGTATGGAGGGATTAGTGTGGCCGGTTGGATCATCTTACAGCCGCCGACCCAACCCCCCCCCAAGACTCGTGGACAATGGGGATTAAAACTTCTCTTATTCTTCGGCCCCAAACGGCGGGATGACAAAGACAGTATTCCTCTGGGTCTTTTAACACCGGGCTGCACAGCTGAAGTTGTGGTCGGGGTTGGGGGGTGGGGTTTGGGTGTGGGGTGGGGGGTTGAGGGGTGGTCAGGGGTCTTATACAGAAAATTAATCCTATGGAATTTTCTCCTCATTGCAAATGGAGATTTGTAGCTTTTGCCTTGCTATCTACCAATCCTACATAACACATCAGTGTCACTCAATAGAAGATCATAGCATCCGGTAGAGTGAATGTTAATATACCCAGGGGCCTGACACAGCTGATATGCATCTACATCTATGCAGCAGCTTCAAAGAGAAGGTGTCAATGGCTCATTTGGAATAGATGTGATAGATTAATTATATTGCCCTTACACCGGCATTCACAGCACAGCTCCTGAGTGAATAACAAGGCCCAGGTAGCAGACAGTGTGCCTAGAGCGCTGTACTCACATCCATATTTTTCCTCATCATTTCACTTGGAAGGACTGAAATTGACCATTTAACATAATGTCATGTGGTGTGCATTCTGGGTCATCACACAAATCATCTAAATGTCAATCACCTGACTGTTAAACCTGCCTGAATCCACCCCAGAGCAACAAAAGGCAACTCCAGGTTCAATTATACCGTCATCACATTGTATTGTGTTGTGTTATGTTGTGTTGTTGTTGGTTTGCTATATCCCACCAGAGAAAACTCACAATGTCACTTCGTTCTTTCTCCCTCATGAATGGAAAAATGCAATGTTGTCTTTGGAGGAGGGGGGCCTGACAGCGAGCAATTTCCAACAACAAATGACAAACTACACCCTCCTCTGCCAGCATGTGTGGAAAAATTGTTTCTCTAATAAAAAATAAAAAATGCATCTTTTGATTGTGAGGGTGGGGATGTTTTAAATATATGCATATTATCTTTCTCTCTTTCACCCTAGCCTCTCTCACCCCCTCCCCCTCCCCTTCTCTCTTCTCTCCCTTTCTCTCTCTTCCACCCTCTCCTCCCCTCTCTGTATCTTGCTCTCTCACTCCCCCTCTCTCTCTTTGCAGTAAATAAAAGATTAAAATGACTGTTCTAAAAACACCGACTGGTCACCAGAAGATAATTGTTTCAGCTTTGTTTACTGTGCGTGAATGTTTTCTCCCTTTTTAGTCCTTTTTTCTTTTTCATTGTGTCCATAATTAAAATTCCTTTATTTTCAAAGTAGTTCTAAAAGAGGGAGCTAAATTGCCTTTTCTGTGTTTATGTTGTCATTGGCCCACTGTCGGGAAGGGTAAAGGAGGGGGAGGATGGGAGACAGCAGCAGTGTCCTTGCACTGGATGGGGGATCAACTTTTAGAGTACAGTAAATGGGATGTATACCACAAATATGTGACAGTATGGTGTTTTAAAAAAGGGTTTTAAATCTCTACATCTGGAGGTGCACATCTGCTTCGATCAAGACTGTGAGCTCGTTGTCTGCTAAGATTTACAAAAGAGTAAGAAATTTAACTTTTCCTTCTGTTTTGCATTCCCACCTGCCCTCAGTGTGGATGTGCGCATTGGGCGGGCTGATGTAATATCTTCAAATTGGTCATTACGCACGATTGAGGTGTTGATGGATGCCGACAACAACAGTATGAAAATTACAAGAGGCACTCTAACACCTTATAATGAACACAGTGTCTCCTCCAAACATGCTGCACAAACACTGACCTGAAACATGCTTATCTGGCACATGCGGCAGAAATGAATTTCCGGGAGCCTGACTCTCATGCACATTGATGAAGCCACGCCGTAACTCCAATTCGCCTCCCATAACCAAGCAACGAAACAACACCTCCTCCTCCCCTTTCCTTTTTTCAAGCAATGCCAGAACTGGGAACACATTTGATGATCTAGGAACTCATTAGAAAAAGGTGACAATGAGGTTTCACAACTCCTAACCAATTTTCCATGACTCCCTTTGCTACCCTGCACATGGCCTCAGAGGCTGACGTGTACTGCCTTCGAATGATCAGATGAGACTTCAGGAGGAGGAGATCAGAGGGCCTTTTGCCCTCACTTCAAACCTGCAAGGTCCCAAAAAATAACACTACATTATAAACCTTCTATATATGACTCTCCCATGGGCCCAGGACCAGGACAGTTCATACATACTTACACTTCACACACTCATACAGAAACATACAGACCAGCCCCTCCATACAATCACAGTCCCCTCACCCCTTCTCGACAGTGCTATCCCTCTTCTGCTTAGCCAGGCGCCCATAATTGAATCTCAGGTTGGGATTAATTCTAGGGGCTGCACTTGACTCGGTCAAAAACAACTATTACAGGGAGGCAATGTATTTTTTTACACAGCACTTCACATTGATTAGGCAATGTGCAGCGATGAGAGATGCATTGGATTCTAGATGACTGTCATTTGCATTAAATGAGGGGTTTGCCGCATCCAGGGGAGAGGGAGCGCCTGACACCGAGCGGAACAGACTGAATAGCACTTTCCATAATGCAGGGTGAGCAACACACACCTGCATGCACAAGTGCACACACAAACACAAGCATACCTTCTGGTTTGATGCATTTACATGCAAAGTACAGATACAGCTAGTTATATCATATGGGTGTAAACATGTCAAAAAGGGTTTAACTCATTAAAAACAAACAGTTTGGGGTTGGTTTCCACATCCACTTAGGAGGAGATTGGGGTATTTTGTCCCTCTAGATTGCAGAGATTTGGTCTTGTTGCCTTCAAATGTAACTTCTCTGTTGTCTTTCCAAGAGCAAGCCCAATGAAAGGTAGTGGGATCTCAGGGGAGCAAGTAGTCCAGTGAGACCAAAGGCCTGTTTCATTTGCAGGGTGAAAAGAAGAAGAGGAGCAAGAGGATGGAGTGAACGCAGAAGTGGTTGGTGGTAGGGTGGTGGAGGTATGGTGGTGGTGGTGAAGGGGGGTATGGGCTGAAAAAGGCCCTCTTTCAGTTCTGAAAGAGAGCAAGAGAACGTTTTTCTTGCCTCCTCCCGTCGTGCTGTCAAACTCGATCAGTGCTGAGGAGCGGTGACGCTACTCGCCTCCCAGACTCCCCCACTGCACAATGGAGTCTGCGAGGACCCACCATGCATTTCACATTCAATTTAGCCCTCCCCAGGACATGGCTGTCAGGGTCAGCAATGGCAGTATGAGACAGGGCTGAGGGGGGGATAGAGGCCGATGTTTTGGACTGAGGCAGATTTGGAGGGAGAGGAGGGGTGTAATGACAATGCTGATGGGTTTGGGCTCAGAGTACAGAGAAGGGGTGCTGGTGTCGCTCCGATTGGAGGGAGGTTGGCGAGGACAGAAGATCCAAGGAGAATGGACAGGAGATTTGGGATGAAAATGGGGGTGATGGAGGGTGGCCTCTTCCCAATAATAAAAAACTCCAAAAGAAAGGTCTGGCCGGGGCCTTTATTCGACGCAGCTTATGCTGCTTTCCATGGGGTCCTCAATGGGAGCTGGGAGACTGTTACTCTGCCGAAGCCCATTAGCCAGTATTAGGAGCGTCCACACATCCGCACAAGAAGATTTGAGACAAACCCTAAACAGCCCACAATAACCGCGAGGTACAAGCCTTGAGCCTTAAGACCTCAGCTTGGCCCAAAAGAGC